GATATCATGCTTGGGAGGGTGGAGGGAGAGTGCAGGAGAGGAAGGCCCTGTATGAGGTGGATTGATTCAGTGACTGGGATAATTGTGATGGGAGTGTCAGAGACAGTGCGATTGGCACAGGACAGAGCGGAGTTTAGGGCTGTTGTACATAGGGTCACTATGAGTCGCAAGTGACTCGACGGCACATAACAACAACAACAAAATTAAGGATGTTGGCCTGGATCAGGTGCACCTTAATCTCTAGACTGACATCTTTGCTCTTCAGCCCTTTGGAGAGGTTCCTTACACCAGATTTCCCTAATGCAGTCATTTGGTTTTCTGGTTGCTGGTGCCAAGAGTGTTGATTGTGGAACTGAGCAAGCTGAAATTGTTAGTGTACATTTAATTAAAATACAGAATTATCCTTCTATTACATTTCCCCCCCTTCTCCAACTTCCTTCTAAGCCACCACAGAGGGCAATGTAAAGATAGAGTTCCTTTCAGTTTTATAAAGGAAAATGGACCTGAGCAATTCGGCTTGTGAAATACTCAGGTGGCAATGGTAAAAATTCAGTATTATTAAATCAAACCTTAAAATGCACTTCTATATATCATGAATGCATGTTTTTTCATGAAACTGTGTTTTATGTTAGTAAATTACTGGATTATTCATATTGCCTGTTTGCTTCTTCAATGAAATTCTTCTGCATAACAAGATTAGTTGTGAATATTAAATCTGTGAGTATTGGTCAAGAAGTATGATGGAAGTCAAAGTATTGAGATTTTTTTCCAAAAGGTCATCATCAAAAAGTGTATTCCATCCTTTCCTTTACAGAAAAGGATAGGGTGGGAGGGAAGGAGGAAAGAAAGGGATTCCTGTGGTATTTTGTCAGCTTTCAGGAATTTTTTTTTTCTTTTCAAAATGACCATTCACAGGAGAATTCACTGTATTAGAAAATTCAGATGTTTCTTTCTTTCCTAGGTTGACTTTCCCCTTTAATTTAGACAATTTTTATTTACCATAATTTTCCTGGCAAAACTCCACCCCCAAAACAATCTATTACCTTTTTCTGTCAAGTTAATTCTGACTATTAAAGTATAAAATGTACAGCTAAAGTACCAAATGTGATACAGGTAGACCAAATAATTATTTTACTTGCAGTAGTTGCCTTCAAGAACTTTTGACTGTTTGTAAACTCTTCCCTTCTTTATAGGAAACAATATAGACTGGAATCACACAGATCTCAGTTTATGTTCTTGATCAACTCTTAACAAATATCTGTAGCCAGAAAACCTAAGTAACCATGTAAAGTTTCAATATCCTCATTCATGAAATGATTATAAAAATTAAGTATTAAAAGAAACATAAATTATATATTACAGCATTTAGAATACAGAATTTCTTTCTTCTGAAATTTCTACATCTATTTCCTTACAATTGTTGTGTACTGAAAAGTCAGCACTGGCTCAGAGCTGACCCTACTGTGGGTTTTCAGAGGCAGTTATCACACGAGAGGATATTGCCCATCCTTCTCTTTTATTATTATTAATTTTATTAAAACTTAAAGAGATTTTGGATTTCCATTCATTCATTGTTGTACTTTTCTCCCTGCCCATTCCTCCCCTCCAGTTTGTTCTTCTCTTTGAAAAGTAAAAGAAAAATTCTTTCATTGTTATACAATCCCTCTCCTCAAGTCCACTCCATTATTAAGCCTTCTTTCTGGACACATGTCATGACAATAATACCCAATCATATATACCTTTTAAACAGTACTGAGTGACAAAAGGACAAATACACATAGTGCCAATGTTGCAAAATGGGACTGACATGGAGGTTGGGGGGTGAGGGGGAGACTGAGAAAGATGGGACAAATTATGTATACTTCATTGAAACAGATGAGAGAGAGAACTGTTCAAAAGGTATTTATGATTGTGTATTATTGTCATGACATGAGCCCATCCTTCTCTTACAGAGCAGCTAGCTGGTGACCTCAAATCACATACTATCAAGATTGCAGTGCAGCTTCTTGCCACTAGGTCACCAGAGGCCCATGCGTGGCTTTTAAGTTGACTTTTAAAAAAATGTTTGCAGATTTCTCTAAAATGTCTGTTCTTTAAAAATGGCCTTTTAAACATTGTTCTAGACTTAGCAAATGTTTAGATAATTCTGTCTTTACTGTTTCCAGCAGTATCCCTTTTAAATTTGTGCTAGACCTGAACAACAGCATATTGCATGAATCAAATGGTAAAGTGACAGCGTCTTGGGGTAAAAAAACACCTTGGGCTGTTAAATACCTGATATCAAGTCCCTGCTAAGGGGGTGTCTTTGCACTTACTTTGCATTAACTAGATTGGAAGTTGTCAGATTAGCCAAGGCAAGAGCTGCTGCCTCCTTTACCTCCTCATTGTCACTTTTTAGCAACTGGATTAACTGTGGAATTCCTAGGGGAAAGATAAGGAAGTGTATCTTCAAAAACTTCAGTGCAAACTAGAATGTGGTAACTTAAAATTGTTCAAAGTATTTCTTCCCAGTTTGCTTACCCTGATGATTGAAATAATCCTTGCTGCTTGAGTTCTCACACATGGCTGAAATAGCTTGGGATGCAGCAATTTTCGTTCCATCATTTTCAGACCCCAAAAGCATGATGAGGCATTTTTCAACCTCTTGTTCATGAAAGAATTTTCTATTTTCAGCTTTTCATAAAGCAAAAGAAAAAATAAAATTCAGAATTTTTCCGTTTTTTTTTTAAAAAAGAGCAGCTAGCAAGATAAGAATTAGCAGGTATTATTACTTTCCCACTCAAAATATGTCAAAAATTCCAACTATTTCTAACTTTATTCATAGATAAATATCTACTTAATCCTTAGAACAAACTGATTATGCAAAATGAAACATGGATATTGCATTTCCCACCCACAATTTCCCTTATAAAATATCAGCACTGTTGTTATATGCTGTCAAGTCGCCTGTGATTTATAGCGGCCTTATGTTCAAAAGCCCTAAACCCTGTCTCTGACACACCTACTCCTATTACCCCAATCACTGGATCAATCCATCTCATTGAGGGTCTTCCTCTCCTGTGCTGTTCCTCCACTCTCTCAATATTGATGTCCCTCTCCAAGGACTGATCCCTCCTCACAACATGCTCAAAGTATGTCAGAGGAAGCTTCAGAATCCTTGCCTCCAAGGAACAGCCTGGTTTCACCTTCTCCAGGACAAACCTGTTTGTTTTCCTAGCAGTCCATGGTATATTCAACAGTCTTCTCCAGCACCATTGCTCAAAGGCATCAGTTCTCTTCCTATCATCCCAAGTCATTGTCCACCTCTCTGATGCATAGCATGCAGTTGCAAAGACTATGGCTCATATTAGGCGCACCTTAGTCTTCAGTCTGACATAGTTGCTCTTCAGTACTCTGGAGAGGGCCCTGACAGCTCACTTTCCCAATGTAGTTTATCTCTTGATTTCCTGGCTGCTGAAATCAAGAATGTTGACTGTGGAGCCAAGCAAACTAAAACTGTTAACTATCTCAATCTCTTCCCCATCCATCATGATGCTGCCAATTGGCCCAGTGGTGAGAATCTTTGTTTTCTTGATATTGAGCTTCAATCCATATTGAATGTTGCAGTCCTTGCCCTTCTGCAGCAAACGTTCAGGTCCTCCTCAGCTTCAGCAAGCATGGTTGGGTCATCTGCATAATGCAGGTTATTGGTAAATCTTCTACCAATCCTGATTCCATATTCTACCTCGTACAGCCAAGTGTCCCAGATGATCTGTTGTGCATACAGATTGAAAAGGTATGGAGACAGAATACATCGCTGGAAGACCTCTTTGCAATTTTGAACCATGCAGTGTCTCCTTGTTCTGTTCTGGCAATTGCCTCTTGGTTCAAGTATAGGTTTTGCATTAGCACAATCAAATGTTTGGGATTCCCATTCTTAGAGTCAGCCACAACTTGTTTTGATCCACAGAGTCAAAAGACTTTACATAGTCAATGAAGCACAGATAGACACTCTCTGCTTTCTGCTATGATCCATCTAACATTAGCTGTAATATCCCTAGTACCACAGCCTCTAAACCCAGCTTGCACATCTGGCAGTTCTCCATTGACTTGTTGTTCCAGTTGTTTTTGGATAATTTTTCAGCAAAATTTTGCTTGCATGTGATATTAATGATTGTTGTTATGTTGTTAAGTGCCATCAAGTCGCAGGTGACTCTTAGCGACCCTGTGAAGGAGAGTCCTTAGCGCTTGTGTGTCTTTCATCCTCTCTCCAGGTTCATAGGGTTTCTGGAGGCAAGCTATTATGCAAGTGGTTGCCACTCCTCCTTCCAAGCTTGTTTTAATCTCGGGGAGCTCCACCCCACTCTCTGTCTGCATTGGGTAGCCAACCGTTAACGCATTTGACACATCAGTGTCACAGTGTTCAGCCTCACAGCAAGCACAAGTTAACTGCTGTACAGCAACTTGTACACCAGGGCTATACGACCTAGAGGAATGTCTGAACAAAAACGATAAAAGATAGGCCCTAAAAAGTACACCCAGCTAGCATAGTGCTCTTTATTTAGAAAAAAATTTATGACTATAAATATATATCACAATATAGAAAACATTATATAAAACTCAGGATCAAAGACTAAATTTGAAACAAAATAATTTTTCTTTTGTATTACCAAATATTATTTTTCTCTGTTGATTTAGCTTAATTTTTCACCAATCAAGATATTCACAAATTAGTATCTCTTTACCACAGAAAACCAACTATTAATTGAGCTAGGTAAGAAAATTACTTTCCAGTGTTTGTGTTCCTCAGTTCATTTAAAATTAATTAGTTACTATTTTTTAAAACATGGAAAAAAATATTAAAGCAAACCCACTTTAATGCCATAAAAAGGTATGAGAACGTGTTAGATAAGAAACAGCTCACAAACCATCCCCAGCCAATTTATTTATGGTTTCATCAAAAAAGTCATGATAACTTTGAGTTTCCATTAATTATCCTGCATAAAGTCAATTTATATTATTTAGATAGAAGAAAGTTATTTGCTCACTTAAGATGTTAATATATAAGAGGATAATATTAGACCATTAAAAATAGCTGCAAAAATGATAATGTTTAGATATCTCCATGTGGAACTAATTCATGGATTACACACATGTAAATTAGCTTGGGTTTATCTTTCCCAGAAATAGTTTTTATATATAAATGACAACTAATCTTACATTTCTTATTTAATAAGTTATGTCTCCATTTCTTTAACACTGATTCAAAAATACCACCATCACTCACAGAAGCAGGGTCACATTCAGAGGTCACCATGTTTGTAAATATTTTTAACCTTTGTTTATGTGCTGGGCTGATTTATGCTGAACAGTCTGGCTCTAACTGGTATAGGCTAAATTACTAACACTTTGTGCCTTCAGTTGAAAGCAACCATGAACCATGTCCTGTAATCCTATCATTTAATCCCTTACTCCTTTCATTTAAAATTAGAATTCAGGTAATCCACACCATGTTTTGTTTAGGTTTTTAAAACTGCATTTAAAACTTACTTACACCTCAAATAAATGCCTCTCAAAAGTTTTAAAAAGGAAAAAAGTATTGTAATTATTACTTTTTACTGAATAAGTAATATCTGGAACTTTTCTAGAATCTCTCCTCTAAAATTCTTTGATTTTTAATGAAATCTTCTCTTATCTCTCAAAATCGGCCTTCCAAAGCAGAAGGCTCTTAGAGGGTTTCTTTTGGGAAAATTGGTCAGGAGAATTCATTTGAATGACTAACTTTAAAGTATGTAATTGTTACATTCGGAAAATAGAATATATACAATTATTAGAAAGATTTTGCTGTTGTTGTTATGTGCTGTCGAGTTGTTTGTGACTCATAGTGACCCTATGTAAAGAGCCCTAAATCCTGCTCTATCCTGTGCCAACATCACTGTCTCTGACACTCCTACTCTCAACACCCCAATCACTGAATCGATCCATCTCATTGAGGTTCTTTCTTCCCTGTGCTGTCCCTCCACTCTCTCAAAATTGATGTCCTTCTCTAAGGACTGGTTCCTCCTTGCAGCATGTCCAAAGTATGTCAGATGAAGCTTCGGAATCCTTGACTCCAAGGAGCAACCCAGCTTCACCCTCTCTAGGACAAACCTTTTCCAGAAATATTTCATATTCAATTCTCTTCTCCAGCACCACAGCTCAGAGGCATCAGTTCTCTTTCTATTGTCCCTAGACACTGTCTAGCTCTCTGATGCACAGCATTTGTGCAATTGTGAAGACAATAGCCCAGATCAGGCGAACCTTAGTCTCCAGCCTGATGCCGTTGCCCTTCAGTACTCTGGAAAGATCCCTGACAGCTGACTTTCCCAATGTAATTTGTCTCTTGATTTCCTGGCTGCTGATATCAAGAGTGTTGTCTGTGGAGCCAAGCAAACTAAAACTGTTAACGATCTCAATCTCTTCACCATCCATCATGATGCTGCCAGTCGGCCCAGAGGTGAGAATCTTTGTTTTCTTGGTGCTGAGCTTCAATCCATAGTGAAGATTGCAGTCCTTGCCCTTCTGCAGCAAGCGTTCAGGTTCTCCTCAGTTTCAGCAAGCAGGGTTGTGTCATCTGCATAATGTAGGTTGTTGATAAGTCTTCCACCAGTCCTGATGCCACATTCCTCCTCATACAGCCCAGCGTCCCAGATGATCTGTTCTGCATACAGATTGGTATCATTCCTGGCAGACACCTTTTCATGCAGTGTCTCTTTGCTCTGTTCTGATGACTGCCTCTTGGTCCAAGTACAGGTTTTGCATAAGCACAATCAAGTTTTCTGGGATTCCCATTCCTGTCAGAGTCAGCCATAGCTTGTTGTGATCCACACAGTGAAAAATGCCTTAAATAAATGCTTTCGGCAATTAGTTTCTCAACCCTGCTGGGAATGTTTTCAAAACCCAGCTGCATTCATCAAACCATGAAAGTGCTGACCATAGTGTGGCTATAATAGATTTAAATGATGAATAACATATTAACCAAGTAATGGTTTAATGAAATGCTACATGGAGAAGTGTTTATGTTTTAATCATGCAAGTAATGAAGATGATGAGATAGTTCTATTACTATTAAAGTATGGTGTTTTTAAAAGGACATATTCTCCCCCTTCAATAAAAAAGGGAAAAAAATTGGTATGTAATGATGCTTTTCCCCCAATTTTCAGAAGATTTTATTGGGCCACCCTCCTGCGGAGATGTTAATGACAGTTCATAATCTTACAGCAAGGTGGCAATTAACACCTTTCTTCCAGTGATGTCAGGTGAAAGGCATAGTGATATGGGCTCTCCACAGTCAGGGAACACACTGGAATTATACTCAACTATAGGGTCGCTATGAGTCATAGGCGACTCAATGGCACATAACAACAACAACAACAACATACAAAACTATGAAGAAAAATCTAGCTAGTTTAATAAACAGCGTTTCCCTTGAACATTGTTTTCTTCTAAAGTATTATCCACATGAAAACAGACAACACAAACTGGAAAACACCAATGACAGAAAGTCTCAGTGAATGGTGATGAAGCAACATGAACAGAGATAGGAAGCCCAGCGCCACAGTGTGAAATGTGTAGGCACTGTTGGTGAATGTACGTGTGAAAATTGATGACTATATTTTGCTGGGTATATTTTCAACAAATTTTTTTAAAAAAATTAATTTTAAAAGATTGTGTAGAATGTGTGTGTGTGAAATGTGTTTTGAAAATGAAAATGCATTATCTAGCTTTAAATAAAAGATTTGATGGTGATGAAAAGTACAAAGAAAGTATTAAAAATTACATTGAGAGTTACATTATTCTTAAGAACAATATAAGGTGCAGCATTTGTCAAAACAAATATATGAATGGAGTTTTCTAACTGGAAAAATATTTTAATGCATATTTATGTTTATTTAAATTCAATACAGAAATATTAGGAGATACTGTGTTTGGGGTTTTTTTTAAATTCTCTTAGAGTTAATCACTGTAGTAACACAGAATAAGATTTATGTCTTGTAAGCTGGCTGGCTCTTAGAGACTTAAGCTAGGTTAATATAAAAAACATGACAGATGGGTCGGCAATCTCCACCAGTGAGATTTGCAGCTCATAGAACCCCACTGAAGGTGATCTATGAGCTGGTTAGAATTTAACAACGATATAAGTGAGTTAAATAAAAAAAGATAAGAATTGTACTCTTAGCTAAAAACAAGGCAAAAAGTCTAGAAGTCAGGCAGGGAGAGAGAATGTTGTGAATTTTTCCAAGTAAACTGAGTTAAGAAGTCAATAAATGAGCTAAAATAAAAGGCAAGAAATATGCTAATATATACTCTAGTGTATCAAGGGTGATGAGGATGGCACAGGCTAGGGCAAAGTTCAGATCGGCTGTTCATTCACAATGAGTGGTACTGGATAGCACCTAACAAAAACACAATTCCTTAGCAATGGCTCTAGGAACAGGATAGTGGTCTGTCCTCCTAGTGTATTACAGTCAGAGATGTCCAGCTCTAGTCCACAGTGTTATGGCTTAGGCATTTTAGAATCCTGTTGAGAATTCTACTTCTTGAAATAGAGACACAAGAAAGACTATGCTTAATTTATATAAAACAACACATACGATCATAAGCTGCTTTGGTAATTGCTTTTGCGGCATTCTTCTGGATATCAGAAATTGTTGAGTTTTCTGCAAATGTTTGGAGCTTTCTAAGCACCCCCGTCTGGTGAATCAGCACTCTGGTATCCATATCTTCAAGGAAATTGGCAAGCACTGAAAGTGCCTGTACATGAAGGTCATTCATTTCCTAATAATAAAAACAAACACAGCTTTAGAAAGGATCATTTATAATTTCCAAATTTTATTACATAAGAGATTTCATTCAGTCAGAACATGATGTAATTATTTTTGTCATTACAGAAGTCTGGGAATGAACAAGAATGCTGTTTATCAAATAATGATACTTTTCTTACACATGTTGTTTTTGGTTTTGATTGCCTTTGAGTTGAGCATAATTCATAGCCACCCTACGAACAAAAGGCTTGAAGCCCCTTTACAACTATCTACATTTATCACAGTTCACAGGGTTTCCAGAGGCATGTTTATTTAGGAAGTAGATGCCACTCCTGCTTCCAAACCTGTCATAGTATATTATTGTGTGCCATTGAGTTGCCTGCAGTGTATAGCAACCCTATGTACAGCAGCTCTGAATCTTCCCCTGTCCTGAGCCAATCTCACTAATTCTGACACACCAACCTCATCACCCCAGTTACTGTATCAATACATCTCATCCTGGGTCTCCCACCCTTCGAAGAATGATGTCCTTTCCCAAGGCCGATTTCTTCTGACCACGTGCCCAAAGTAAGTGAGGCAAAGTTTCAAACCCTAGTCTCCAAGGAGAGACTTGCTTTCACCCTCTCCAAGACAGAGCTATTTGTTTTCTTGGCAGTTCATGGTATGTTCAAGACTCTTCTCCAGCACCACAACTTGAAGGCATCTATTCTTCTTCTGTCATCCTTAATCATTGTCCGCCTCTCTGAAAAACAACAAATAGTTGAGCCAATCATGGCCTGGATTAGATGCACCTGTGTATCTAGACTGACATCATTGCTCTTCAGCCCTCCGGAGAGGTCCGTGATGGCAAATTTTCCCATTACAATTAGTCTTTTGATTTCTTGACTGCTGGTGTTGTGGATCCAAGTAAGCTGTAATTTCTAACAATGTCAATAAATTCTCCAACTAATATGTTGCTGTCAATTGGCCCAGTGGTGAATATCTTTGTCTTCTTGATGTTGAGCTTCAATCCATACTGAAAACTACAGTCCTTGACCTTTTGCAGCAAGTGCTTCAGGTCCTCAGTTTCAGCAAGCAAGGTTGTGTCATATGTATATCACAGGTTGTTAATAAGTCTTCCTACAATCCTGATGCCACACTCCTCCTCATAAAGCCCTGCCTCCCGAATGATCTTCATACAGATTGAAAAGCTTCAGCTACAGGATGCATCCCTGATACACTCCTTTCCTGATTTTGAACCATGCAGTGTTTCCTTGCTCTGTTCTGAGGATGGCTTCTTGGTCCAAATATAGGTTTCATATAAGCATGATCAAGTGCTCTGAGATTCCTATTTTCCTCAAGGTTAGCCACAACTTATTGTAATCCATACGGTCAAATGCCTTTGCATAGTCAATGAAACACAAATAGACAGTCTTCTTTGACTCTGCTTTCTGCCAAGATCTATCTTATATTGGAAATAATGTCCCCAGTGTCACAGCCTCTTCTAAACTCTTATCTTTTCTCATTTTCTAGTCCAAATGTTTTTTTAGCCTCTCTCCTTGCTGTCGGGTCAGAACTTAATCATAGCTGACCATCCACTGGGTTTCCGAGGGTGTAAATTACATGGGAAGACATTGCTCATCTTTCTGCCCTGGAGCCACTGGTAGATTCAAACCACCAGAGGAGCATTACTTTCTAAGTTACCAGCACAAATTCCTTTGGACTAAAATAATCTTATAGAGGAAACTTCCAGTAATGGTAGTGGAGAATAGCTGTTCATGCACCTCTACTACAACTTCCAGTAATTGTAGTGGTAAAAGATGGGTTATTTTCTTCCATGTGATTTGTAATTCAGAGTAATTTTAAGATTTGAGGAAATATTTTCTTAAAGTACTACTTGAAGACATTAAATGCATCCAGAAGTTTGCCAGAAGTATAATCTGAGAGGACAAACAGGACAAGAGACTTTGGGACACAGAGATAGAAGCAGAGGAAAGATTTTCTGAGCTCACTGCAAGAGAGAGTGATGGCTTGAGACCCCTGGCATAAGCTCTGCTTGAGCTGACCTCCCTGATCTCCTGCCACTGCAGAGACAAAGGAAGATGTTTAGCTGCAGGAGAAAAGGTGAGAGAGGTGAAGCTCTGTGCCCAGAGCAAGCACTCTTGTGGGGAGATGGGACTGAGGCTTCCCTGGGGCTATAGGTCCCTCCATTTAGCGGTTCCTTGCTTCTGTGACTGGGGGCTATCTCAGTGGCCAAATAGGACAAGAGACTTTGGGGAAACAGAGCTACAAGCAGAGGAGAGACGTTCTCTGTGAGAGGGAGGGCTGACTTGAGAATTCCTTACACACAAGATGCTTGAGCTGGTGGCCCTGATCTCTGATCTCATGCCACGCTAGAGAAAACGGAAGCCATTAAGCTTCAAGAGAAAAGGTGCATGAGATACTACTTGAGTTAGAGTACCTGATCTCACACCACTCAGCCACTTCCCACACAAAGGAAAATAATAGAGTTTGGGACAGGGAACTACACTGAGGTGATATTCCTGAAGGGCTGCAGTGCAAAACAGAGAGAACCTCAAGGACTTTAGAAAAGGCCGATTTTCCCAAACAAGATTTTCAGTAGGGTGAGTGGTTCACCCATAAATTGAACATTTTAACTTGGCAACTAATCAGTAACATCATGGAGACAACCAACAACTTGCTTAGACACAACAGAAACAGCTTAACACTTATCAAGTAAAATGTTGCATAATGTAAAGAAAACATCAGGTAGCTTCAAATACTGTAAAAAAACAAATTAAGTCTTCTCCAATAAAATTAGAAATTATTGCAGACCTCATGGATACCCCAGAGTCAAGAATGGCTAGGAAAGAAAGTATAAATGATAGAAAAAACACTTATCAAGTAAAATGTTGCATAATGTAAAGAAAACATCAGGTAGCTTCAAATACTGTAAAAAAACAAATTAAGTCTTCTCCAATAAAATTAGAAATTATTGCAGACCTCATGGATACCCCAGAGTCAAGAATGGCTAGGAAAGAAAGTATAAATGATAGAAAAAACAATGGAAGCCACAAATAAAGGGAATAACTTAGAGATAGGGAACCAGAAGAAATATATTGATGAGTTATTTGAATAGCTATGGAAGAAGGTTCAAATGAGGGAATGAACAAGGGAAACCATTAAGAAAGCAAACACTCCAGAGAAATGGATCCAGAAGAAATATATTGCTGAGGAAAAACTTGCACCATTAAGGAAGAAAATGCAAAAGATGGGGAAAAAATTGAAACTATAGATAAAGATACAGGATCTTACAAAATCATCACAAAACAGAGAAGGTACAGCCAATACATTACTGGAAATAACAAATGCATGAAAGTGTGGTCAAGAATATTAATACTGAAATGGCAGAAATGTCCAACTTGCTGAAAGGACAAAATGTAGAACAGAAGAGACAGAACAGAGAGTCAGTGAGCTGGCAGACAAGAACCTCAATGGAAATATACTTGGGGGGAAAAATCAGAGATGAGGTGTTCAGGAAGTTCTCTAGATACCAAATAGACTAGACCCCAAAAGGAAAACACAAAGATACAACATAGTTTAATTCTCCAAAATAAAAGGGAAGGATAGAATACTAAAAGTAGCATGAGAAAAACAAAGAGTAACAAAGTAGAAGCAATAAGATTAAGTTCTAATTTTTTTCGGCAGAAAACATTTGAGCAAGAAAACAATGGGGTGGCATATACAGAGAGTTGAAAGAAAACAATTGTCAACTGAGGATCCTGTATCCAACTAACCTCTCCATCAAATAAGAAGGAGAAATCGCGTCCTTTACAGAAAAGAAAGAACTTAAGGAATTTGTGAAAACAAGAGCAAATAAACAGGAACTTTTAAGGGAAGTCCTTTACACAGAGACAACAAAGAAAAGTGGATGGACCATGGTAACAAGAAGCAACAAAAAAAGAAACACAGCAAAATGGAAATGATAAAACATGGCCTATCAAGAATTACACTCAATGTGAATAGACTAAATTCTCCGATCAAGAGGAAAAGAGTAGCAGAATGGATAGAAAAACCAAAGTCTATCAATATGTTGTCGGGAAGTCACAGACTGGGAAAAAATATTTGGTAATGACATGTCAGATAAATTATTTATATCTAGAATTTAGAAAATACTTGAGCACTAGAACAAGATAAAGGTAAATAACCCAATTGCAAAATAGGCACAGGATATGAACAGACACTTCACCAAAGAAGATGTTCAGATGGCCAACAAACAAATGAAGAAATGTTCAAAATCCCTAGCTCCAAGAAAGATGCAAATCAAAACAATTATGAGATATCATCGCACCCCAGGAAGAATAGCAAAATTTAACAGAACAGCAAACATCAAATGCTGGCAAGGTTGTGGAGAAACTGAAACTGTTATTCACTGTTGGTTAGGAGTGTAAAATAATGCAACCACTATGGAAGGCTGTATGGCACTTTCTCAAAAAGCTGCAAATAGAAATACCATTTGACCCAGCAACTCCACTACTGGGAATATACCCTAAAGAAACCATAACCACCACCCAAGTAGATATATGCACACCCATGTTTATTTCCACTTTGTTCACAATATCAAGGAGTTGGAAACAACCCAAGTGCTCATCAACAGATGAATGGATAGAGAAGCTCTGCTATATTCACCCAATGGAATACTATGCTGCCTTGAAAAACAAGGAACTCATGAAATATACAAAATGGATAACCCTGGAGGACATTATGTTGAGTGAAATATCTCTGTCTCAAAAGGACAAATATTGCATAGTGCCACTGTTGTAAACTGGGATTGACATTGGGGTTGGGGGAGACTGAGAAATACGGGATAAATAATGTATACTGCATTAAAACAGATGAAGAAGAGAACTGTTTAAAAAGGATATATGATTAAGTAGTATTGTCATGACAGGAGTCCAGAATGAAGGCTGCATAGTAGAGTGGACTTGCGGGGAGGGATTGTATAACAATGGAAGAATTTTTCTTTTACTTTTCAAAGAGAAGAGCGAATTGGGGGGTGGCGTAGAAGAAAAGTGCGACAATGAATGAATGGAAATCCAAAGTCTCTGTAAACTTTGATTAAAATGAATTTTTTTAAAAAAGTGCTGCCACAGGAAAAAGAAAAGAGAGAGAGAAAGACACCAAAGAAATCAAGAACGACTCAAAACCAAAAGGTGTGGTAAAAAAATATACAAAGCAAAAGGTATCTACAAAAAAGCAGGATTGGCAATACTAATCTCTGATAAAATAGACTTCAGAATGAAAGCCACCATAAAAGATAAAGAAGGACACTATATAATGTTTAAAGACATAGTAGATCAATAAGATAAACATTGGTCAACATCTAGGCACCAAATGATAGACCCGCTAAATACCTAAAACAACAGTTACTAGAATTGAAGACAGAAATAACACCATAACAGTGATACAAGACTTTAACACATGACTCTTACCAAAGGATAGATCAACTCAAAAGAAACTTAACAAAGATGTGGAAGATCTAAATTACACATTCAGCCAACTCAACCTTGTGATGTAGTTCAAGTAGTACACCAAATTAAAATGCAATTCACTTTCTTTTCAAGTGCACATGGGACATTTTCCAGAATCAGTCACATATTAGGGCACAAGGCAAGCTTCAAAAAATTAAAAAACACTGAAATTATTTAAAGTATCTTCTCAGACCCCAAGGAATAAAACTAGAAATTAATAGTAAGAGGATAAAGCTTATAAAACCACCAATGTGAAAGCTAATAACACCCTGAAAAAAAATAAACAACCTAAAAAACCCACCCCCAAAGCAAAAACAACACCCTGCTAGAATATGATTGGGCTATAGAAAAAATAAAAAATGAAATTAAAAAGTTGCTCAAAACAAATGATAAAGAAAATATAACATATCAAATCCTCTAGGATGCAGGTAAGTTAGTCATCAGGGACAGTTCATAGCAGTAGGCAAACAAAAATAAAGATAAGGGATTTAAAAAATGTTAAAAATGAAGGAAAAAGCAAAATTAATGATCAATTCAACAGTTTAAGAGAAAAAGAACAATAATCTAATCCCACAGCCTCTGGAAGAAAGGACATTACAAGAATAAGAACTGAAATCAGCAAGATAGAAAACAAAAAACAATTGAATCCATCAATATGAACAGAAGCTGGTTTTTTGAAAGGGTCAATAAAATTGACAATAGAAAAAAAAGGAGAAGGCACTAATAACTTGCTTAATTAATAATAGAAATGAAATCACAACAGAACCAGAGGAAATTAAAGCTATAATATCAGAATAGTGTAAGTAGCTATACTCTGATATATTTGAAAGCCTATAGGAAATGGACAAATTCCTTGAAATTCATGCCCTACCCAGACTGGCAAGGTCAGATGTAGAACACTTGAACAAACCCATCACAAAAGAAGAAATTAAATAAGTTATAAAAAGACTAGTCAGCAAAAAATCCCTGAACCAGATGGCTTCACTGCTGAATTCTACCAATTCGGAGAAGATTTATCACCAATTATACTACTTAATTTATTTCAAAACATAGAAAAAGAAAAAACACTCCCAGAGACACTCTATGAAGTAAGTTTAACTCTAATACTGAAACCAGGCAAAGATATTTAAAAAAAAAATAAAGAAAACTACAGACGAATATCTCTCATGAATATAGACACAAAAATCCTTAACAAAATCCTACCCTATAGAATCCAAAAGCACATCAGAAAAAGAATTCACCATGGCCGAGTAGAATTTATAACAGGTATGCAAGGATAGTTCAACGTAAGGAAAACAATTGGGTATTAGGATGGTGGTGGAAGGAAGTGTAGATAATCATAGGATCAGACAATTTGATGAGTGGAGGAAGGGGTGGGTAAAGGAAAAAGGAAATGATCTGGTGTGAAAAACAATATATATTAACTTTGTAAGGAAACCGATGTAAAGTAAAGAATTTATTTAAAAAAAAAATGAAAACAAGCCCTTGAGAACCAAAATATGATCTTGAGTCTACCTCACCTGTATTTTAAAATCATTTAAAGGATAGGTTTGAAGTAATAAACACCAATGATAGAAGACCCATTGAGTTTGTGAGATGACATCAGAGATATCATCCATAAAGAGAACAAAAGGTCAGTACTACAACAGAGATGAAAAGAATTTTAAAAAAAAGAAAAACAATGTAATTCACCACATTAACAAAGCAAATAGCAATAATCATATGATTTTAGCAATGGATGCAGAAAAGGCATTTGGTAGAATCTAACAATAAAAGAGAATTTCCTCAATATAGTAAAAAATGTATGTGCAAAACCAAGAGCCAGTATTATTCTTAATGGAGAAAGACTAAAAGCATTTTTCTTGCAAACAGGGACCAGACAAAGATGCCCACTGTCACCGCTTCTATTCAATATTGTATTGAAAGTACTTGCTAAGGCAATATGACAAGGAAATTAAAGGTATCTCGATGGTTAAACTGTTGCTATATGCAGATGATAGTGTATACAGAAAACCCCAAGAGCTCAACAACAACAAACAGAGCTAGTGGACCAGTTTAATCAGGTTACAGAATACAAGATTAATATAAAAAAATCAGTGGGATTCCTCTACAGTAACAAAGAAAACACAGAGAAGGAAACTAAGAAAGCAGTACATTTACAATAGCCAACTACAAATTGAGACACTTGGGAGTGAACCTAACTAGAGTCACAAAAAGACCTGCACAAAGAAAACTATAGAACATTTTTGCAAGACACAATAAAATGCCTAAATAAATGGACAGAAGTTCCCTGTTCTGAATAAGAAGACTCAATATTATGAAGATAACAGTCCTACCAAAAGCAATCTACATATTCAATGCCATCCCAATACAGATACCATATTCATTTTTCAAGATCAAAAGATAAATTTTCAAGTTTATTTGGAGATGCAAGAGACCCTGAATAAGCAAATCACTTCTGAAAAACAAAAATTAATTGTAAGGCGTGCACTCCCTGACCTCAAAACCTACTATGCAGTGTTAGTAACCAAAATAGCATGGTACTGGTACAATGACAGGTGCATAGACCAATGAAATGGAATTGAGAACCCAGAAATGGACCCATCTGTCTATGGTCAACTGATATTTGATGAGGAAATAAAACCATCCATCTTCTTTTAACTTTCCAGATCACTCCATTTTCTGCCAATAGCATACTTAAGTATTAGAACTTGAGTCTTGAATTTGCTCTTCAGTTCTTTCAGCTTAAGAAATGTGTCTTAAGAGATAAATTATTCTTTTGTGCTTTACTCTGGAGAAAAATCATGGCAATCCAAAGTTAAAATACTAATTCCAGGCATTTATAGAGAGGGATTGCTGGTGGCCAGTGGTAAAGAATTGAACTGACAACCCAAAAGTAAGAGGTTTGAAGCCACCAACTGCTCTGTAGAAAAAAGATAGGCAATATCCTTTCTAGTGATTTACTGCCACCGCAAACCCACTGGAGGGTCAGCTGTGGGCCATGATACTTAACAACAGCAACAGGGGTTTCTAGACCTCATGAGGGGAAATAGAGATAAGAATTTTAAAATCTTAAATCTTTTAATGCAAAGATTTGCTCTTTAAAAAAGGAATTTATAATGGCCTTTCCATTTTGTTTAATGTAATCAAATGAATAAACTTTATGCAGCAGAGAGCAAATTCATCCAATATATACATGTAAGAATATGCTTGATAAAATTTCATTTGAAAAATACTATATAATTCATACTTAGTTTTGATTTCTTTTAAATCTCTTACATTTAGGAGATAAAACATTCATCAGAGAGATAGGTGAGTATTATAAATACCTTTGTGTCTAGGATCTTAATAAGGGAGTCCAATCCTTGATTGTCTCTTAGCTGTACTCTAGACTCCTTATCATTCATAATAAGACCTAGGGTTTTGAGAGCTAGCAGCTGAATAATGGGATATTCTGACTTGAGGAGTTCTAATACGGAAGGGATTGCATTTAGCTCTGGAAGTGTAGTTCGACATTGGAAATCCTGCAAATGAGCAAATAAGTAATAATTTTAGTAAACTGAGCACTGAAGAGTAAAAAATCCCATTTTCCAACAAATAACACATTTCCATTTTCCTAGAAAATGATCTTAAAAAATAATTTACAAACAAAATTGTTATACCCTCAATCAACAACACCCACATTTTCATTTTAACTGTGCAGATATTGTCAACAATATAAAAATTGCACATGATCTTTAACTTTGACAGTACCTTATTATTTCTTTAGGGGAGTTTGGGTGGGGTAGTCTATGGGGAGTAGTGCTGCTAACAAAAAGGCAGTGCCTTTCTCATGGTTCAAATGTGATTCAGAGCCTTGGAAACAGCAGAGCTTCAGCTATGCTTTGACAGCAATGGAGTCTTAGTATTTATCATACCAATAATTCCTTCTACTACTACTAGATATTATAATATACTGTTATAATAATGTTAATGCATATTAAAACTATTTTCACACTGCTTAATATACTATTAAAAGTTGTTGTTTATCGTGGAGTCAGAACCAATCCATAACTGACCTTCCAGGACATTTTCAGAAACAGTTAATCTCGCATGGGAGGAAACTGCCCAGTTTTTCCTATGGTGTAGATGATGAACTCAAACTGCAAACCTTTCCATTGCTAGCATAATCCTTACCACTAGTATTTGATAAAATGAAATGATAGCATAAATTCCTTACTGTCCTCATTCTAATGAATTGTTTATGAAATGCAAGCAGTGTTGTTTGCCCACCTTATGTGCGCAAATTTGCAGCAGGCTTCATTCAATTATGTGAAGTTTATTAAGTCCATTTACATTATCAAGGGTTTGCTACTTGCTAGACAAGGTGCTCTTTGCCAGTTGCTAATTCTCTGTGTGTTTGGAGGTTTATGTGTGTTTCTAGGGGCTGGAAGGGGTGGACAGTGGAAAAGAAAAGGTAAAAATCAAAGTTGTTGCGTGTTGTCCAGTTGATTCCAACTCAGAGTACCCAGCAGTAGCCATGAAAAGTCCCAAAACATAGATGGCTAAATCATGCCATTGTAAATGAAAACTTGGTAAATGTTAATAAGCGGTAAGACGTTGTATTGCGATACCAAAGGCACATGGCTCCAGTGTACCAGGTTTTCCTCAGGAGTGTACTGACTCTGAAAACCCGATGGAGGGTCAGCTATGAGTCAATTCCAACACAACAACAACAAATGGTTAGAACATGCATTTAAAAAATAGTATTAGAAATGGGTAATGGGCCCCATTATGGCTTATATACATTGTGGTTTTATCCTAGCTATCCTTCAATAGTCTCCTTAATATTAAGGAAATTTAATACTCAGCTTTCTTTTGACTTAACAATTTTGGATTTCTGTTAACTAGTATTTCTGTTATTAACCAGTAATTGTAGGAGCTATTTTTCTAATTTGTGATTAATAAAAAATATAAATGATACACTTTTGGGGTTAACATCATTCAGAGGAATATTTAAACTTGTTAGTTGTAATAAAACATATTCAACCAGATAAAGGGCACTAAGCTGAGCATCTCTTTTACAAGGAGTCTTAAACCAGGGAGTCTAAAATCAAGTGATAATGACACATTTAGAGCAAAAATGTTATGCTTTTACTACTTTGTGGCACAAGTTCATTTATCTCTCTATGCCTAGATAAAGATCTAGACAATTGGCTTCATTATCAACTTTCTTCTTCTTCCATGCCCTTAGTGACCATATTTAAAATGATGTTTTTGTATTTTTTTGTTCTTTGCTCATCCTAGGTGGCATAAACAGCTAAGTGCTTGACTACAAGCTGAAAGGCTTGGAAAGATTGGCCTAGCAATTTTTTTCAGAAAGGTCATCATCTTTAAGACCCTAGAGAGATGTACTTTGCAGAGATGGGTTCCCTATGAGTCAGAATTGATGACAACTAACTACAACAAAGATTGTCAGGTGTGTATGATTGTTGTTAGGTACTGTCAATTAGAAGACCACTCATAGTGACCTTAGGAACAAGAGATATGAACCCTACACCATCCTGTGCCATCTTAACCATTTCTCATCAAGACCATTATAACAGTTGCTGTGACAGTCTACCTGTTGAGGATCTTTCCATTCTTTCTCTGACCCTGTGCTTTCCCCAGCATGAAATATTTTTCCAAGGACTGATCCTTCTTGACAGCATGCCCATAGTATATGAGACGAAGTGTCACCATCCTTGTCTCTAAGGAATCCCTGGTTGGACTTCCTCTAAGACATACTTGTTTGCTATTTTGGAAGTTCATGGGCTATCCAGTACTCTTCATCAATACCACACTTCTGAGGCAAACAATTATTTGGTCTTTCTTGTCCAACTTTCAGATGGATACGAAACAACTGAAAATACCATGGCTTGGATCAGGCCCACCTCAGTCTTTACACTGACATCATTGCCCTTAAGCCCCTTGGAGATGCCCAATGCGACATGTGTTTTGAGTTCTTGACTACTACGTCTATGATGTTGGTTATGGAGACAAGTAAAATTAAATCCTTGATAACTTCAGTCTGCTGCCCATCTGTCTGTGATGTTGCCTATTGATCCAGTAGTGATGATTTTTGTTTTCTTGATGTTGAGATGTTGTTATATTATTAAAGGCAGTACAGTCTTTGATCTTTATCACTACAAGGTTCAAGTTTTCTTCTGTTTCTGCAAGCGTCATCTGCATAACTCAAGTTAATGGTTTTTTCTCCCATCTTGATGCCATATTCTTCAATATATAGTACAGCTTCTCAATTATTTGCTCAGTATGGAGAAAGGGTGCTAACCTAATGCATACCTTTCTTGATTTTTGAGTCATGAAATATCTTTTTCTCTTAAAAATATGGCTTCTTGCTGTATGTATGTTTTTGTTGTTAAGGGCTGTCAAGTCGTAGATGACTCATAGTGACCCTGTGAATGAAAGACCTGAGCACTTGTTTAACTTTCATTGGGTATGTATATAGGCTTCACATAACTGCAATTAAGTGTTCTGATTCTCAAGGTTATTTATAACTTATTATAATTCACACATCAAAATACTTTTCTATAGTCAATAAACACAAGTATATAGCTTTCTTGTATTGTGTTTACAGCCAAGATCCACCTGACATAAGCAATAATATTCCTTCTTCCATGGCTTATTAATTTTCTAGCAGTTTTCTATTGATGTATCACTTCAGACATTTTAAAATATTCTTCAGCAAGATTTTACTTGCATATTATATTAATGAAGGCACTTTGGTGGCCTAAGGGGTAAGGAATTATGCTGATAAACCCAAACACAGTTTGACTCTACCAGTTGCTCCTTGGGAGAAAGATGAATGGGTTCCTCCTGTGCGATTTTTAGCTTTTTTCCTACTTGAGCATCAACTATGAGGCAGTTCTGACTCAAAGGAAATGAGTATATGTAGTATGACATTACTGATATTATTTGATAATTTCTGTACTCTGTTGGATCACCTTTTTCCAGAATGTGCACAAATGTGGATTTCCTTCAGTTGGTTAGCCCGGTAGCAGTCTTCCAGATTTCTTGGTCTAAATGAGTGAGCACATCCTGGACTATTTATTTTTGCTAAAACACTGCAGATGGTATTCTGCCCTAAAGCCTTGTTATTTTGCCAAGACCTTCAATATAGCTTGGACTTCTTTAGTACCATTGATTCTTGATCATGTGCTACTTCCTGAAGTGGTGTAGCATTAACCAATTCTTTTTGGTACAGTGACTGTATATTCTTTCCATTTTCATCTTCTTTTGATGCTTCTGGTGTCATTCAGTGTTTTGACCCTAGTTTCTTTCAGTATTGCAACTTGAGGTTTGAATTTCTTCTTCAGTTCTTACAGCTTGAGAAATGGCAAGTATATTCTTCTCTTCTAGTTTTCTAACTTCAAGTCTTTGCACATTTTGTTACAGTACTGTGTCTACTTGACCTGCCCTTTGAAATCTTCAATTCAGCTATTTTATTTCATCGTTACTGTCTTTTACTTTAGTTTTATCTACATTTAAGAGTATATGTCATATATGTAAAGAGTTTACTTGGAATGAGAAGCACAGAAAGCTGTCCAAAGTGTCCAGTGACTGCTAAGGGTGTGCAAGTATGTAAATTTGGATGAAAGGAGGAGGAGGCGGCAAAAAACAACACAGGTGGACAGAGGACAAAGAGCCATCTTTTGATAGCAAAAAATTCTTGTTTTAATAAACAAACTCTCCAACTCCCAATATCACAAGTCGGCCTGACTTGCACATGCTACTTCCCCAATATGAAATACTCCTTATCCTCCAGTACGCTTCTTTTTCTGTCTTTGTCTTATGTATCCTTCAGTCTTTCACCTGAGAATGTACCCAGACTTCCTCCCTCTCTCTTTGGCCTCCTCTGGCTCCTTTTAGAGTGGTGGGGAAGGTTGAAGATGGCTAGGTATTACGGAGTCTGTTAATAAAACATCTTGTATACCAGGTTAAGAGGCATAAATCAGATACAAGCTTTTAGCCCTTCACATTTTGGATCTCAACCATAATAGCTTTAGCTGGAGTTGAGTGCTATTAGCATCTGGGTTATCCATGTATCTTCCTATACTTATGTTTTCCTTTCACTGCTCATAAACAAAACTATTTATCCTGAGAAGATAAGGGTAGGAGGTAGTGACTTGGGATTTATTAGTCTCATAGACTCAAGAGAAACATTTCGACTGTTGAATATATGGGTCTGGTTCCACTTTGGTTCAGAGCTTTTGCTTTTCTGGACCCAGTTTTCCCATCTGGTGAAGAAGGATGAATTATTGTTATATGCTTTGGAAGTGCTCCATATCATTTGGAGAAAAGTCATTATGTGACTTTAACCATTTTCACATTCTTCTTCAGATTGTATGAATTATTCACTACCAGCATCATCCAGGGTTAGATTATACTTGGAATTTTTATGTTGAACATTTTATAAATCAGACTGCTGTGATTCATCACCACCTTAGAGGACATTTTTTAAGAGGTAAAGAAAAGGAAACATAGTGAATTTTTTGAAGATGAGGGCAGCAGTGAGGAATGAAAACAGAGTTTGGGAGCAAAGAGGATATGTCAAAAGCATAGTGCATGATTCCATATGTGTTTAAGAATCATGATTTTTAAAGGAAAAGAATATGAACTACAGATACAGAGGAAAAATTTTATGTGGAATCTGGACTCTGATAAAAATCATTCATTTTCAACTTTTCAATTCCAGTGGTAATTTTTTAATTTGTTTATTTGTTTATGTAAATAAAATAGCAAAATATTCTCAATTAAAAAAATTCTTGTCAACAGTGAGTTATGTTCTGCATATTCAGGTCATGTATGCTGTCTTTCTCCAGTAAATAAGTCTACTCTAAAATACTCTATCAAGTGTGCTTGATCACTAAGGTCAGATGAGTAGGTGGTATTCCAGTTCAAACTTGGTTCTGCATGGATATTAGATTTCTTGTTTCAGAAAAGTAAATTTTATCTAGTATAATCCCATCACAGTTTGCATGTATTCTATCAGACTGCTGTGATTCATCACCACCTTAGAGGACATTTTTTAAGAGGTAAAGAAAAGGAAACATAGTGAATTTTATACATAATAATGTATTTAAAATAAAGTATGTTTCCTAAATAATCTTACATGACAATTACTTATTAAAAGGAAAATAGAACGCAGAGATTTGTACACTGATGTTTATAGTAGCATTATTCACAATAGCAAAAACACGGAAACAGCCTAAATGTCCATCCACAAACAACTGCATTGAGAAATTGTGATACATTCACATAATGGAATACTATGCAGAACTCAGGGGCAACTATTTCATAAAATACTATATAAAATGGGAAAGACTAGAGCATTATGCTGAGTGAAGTAACTCAGGTCCATAAGGACAAATACTGCATTAAGACCATTATTATAAAAATAGAAGGGTAACTAGTAAGATGTTTATGGCTTTTCAAAGAGGGAACGGGATGGGGCAGGGGAGCTGAAGGTGGAGGGAGTGTAAATCATAGGTCACAGAGTTTGGTGGGTGAAGGAATTAGGAGAGATCCAGTGGCAATCAGAAGGGCCAGCAGAATGATGGGCATTGATTAACAGTGATTAATTTTGTAAGACCCAATGTACAAGAATGATTAATCATAAAAAACACAATGAGAATGAAAAAGATAAAACACACCAAAATAATATTTGAAAAAAGGAGAGTGTAGAAATGGAAAAGCATTCACATCAAAAGTGCATTCCCCCCCGGCCCCCGATGATAAATACTAGAAGGTAGAACTGATTAGTCCCAATAGGGAGTTTGTAAAAGTTTTCTTTTAATATGATAAAATTAATTCTATAATCTGACTTGGTGAAAACGAATTAAAAATATTTTACCTGTACCAAGTTGTAAATGCACTCAATAGAGTTCTTCTGAACATCAGGGTCTGGGCTACTCAGTAGTCTGATGAGAGGCTCTAAACCACCTTGTTCAAATATTTGTGCTTTATTGATATACTCTGCAGACATGTTTGCTAAGCAAAGACTAGCAAACTCATGGATAACAACTTCTTCTGTATATAAAAAATAAACAACACAAGTATGCTAAATGTGTATCCAAACATTGCTTTAAAGATTCACAAATCTTACCTTGGTTAGAACCATCATTTTTAGAAACTCAAAACCAAGCTGTAATTTGAGAGCTTTAGTAATAACTGTTCATAATTCCTACTTAAGACAAGTTTCCAAGTTCTAGTTTAATCAAATGTAAAAGTTAAGAAATTCCTTTTAAAAAAAAATGAGACACAGGATGCAAAGTTACCTTCTGGAGCAAGTCGAGCAATAACAGAATTCATGACATTTAACTTCCTTAACAATTTTTTAATATCATCTACAAAAGAAGCAGAAGACTGATGTTTAATAATAACGATACTGTCTGTGGAACATTCACTTATGAGATAGGTACAGATAAGGAAACTTTTGGTCAGAATCACACAGTGTGGGTTCTGGTTTCATGCTCAGAACTGACAGACTCCAGACTCTAGAAAACCAAAACCCATTGCTGCTGGGCCAGTTCGACTTCAAATAATTCTAAAGGACAGAGTCAAACTGCCCCAGAGGGTGTCCAAGGTTGTTCCCCTTTGTGGATGCAGACCACTATGACTTTCTCCCATGGAACAGCTAGTAGGTCAGAGCTGCTAGCCTGTCTGTGGGCAGGTGAGCACATCAACTGCTGTGCCACCAGAGCTCCCTACCATTGGAAAAGGTAACTATCTAAGTTAAAAAAAAAGTTTCAATAAAACAAATATTTCTAAAACACTGGTCAGTAAAGTTGAGCCACTGTGCCCTACACTTGAGTAATTTTGTCATACAGTTGTCATGCATATTGTTTTGTGGGGTTTTGGGAACTGGGGAGGAGTAGTGGTATGCTTAGGATATACTTTAAAACTTGGTATAAATAAAACATATAAGATGGAGGTAGCACTGGTGGGCTAGTGTCAAGGAGATGCACTGCAATCCCAAAGGAACCTGGTTTGAATCTACCAGCTGCTCCAAGGGAGAAGGATGGGCAGTCTCCTCCTATGCAATTCATTGCCTCTGAAAACCCTCTGGAGGCTCAGTTCCAACTAAACAGTGGACAACAACATACAAGATGTAAATGTTCATTATTCCAGCCTTTTTCAATTAATACATCCTGTTTGCTTTTATTTCATTTGAGTACTCAGAAATGCCAAAAACACTTCAAGAGAAGCATAGTAACTTTTGGCTTATGTTCACTTTTACTTTCTGTGTTAGCCTCATTAAGGCTGGCCAGGTATGCCACTTCTTTTTTGCTATCTTACCACCTGTTTTGAGGGAAATGTGTGTAGATGTTCCTTAGGTTCTGATGTTTCGCTTCTTGGTCAATTATCTTCATCTGTAGATAAAAATTAGCAGTACTAGAATTTTGAAAAAGTTCACTTTGGTGCAGCTGAACAGCAGATGGTCTTTAGATGAATTCTTCCTCATTAATTATTAAATATACTTGGAATTTATTGGGTAAATTTTCCTGAGGGACTCAGAGATATGGCTGTTTTTCAACTGGTCAGAATTTCTGCTCTGTTTCTTTAAAAAGGGTTAAAAGTGATCCACCAAGGAAGTGTAAAATGGTGCAACCACTATGGAAGACTGTATGGCACTTTCTCAAAAAGTTGCAAATGGAAATACCATTTGACCCAGAAATTCCACTACTAGAAATACACCCTAAAGAGACCATAGTCACCATCCAAGCAGATATATGCACACTCATGTTTATTGAGGCTTTGTTCACAATAGCAAGGAGTTGGAAACAACCTAAGTGCCCAACAACAAACAAATGGATAGAGAAGCTGTGGTATATTCACACAATGGAATACTACACTGCATTGAAAAACAAGGAACTCATGCAATATTATTAAAAATGGGTGACCTTGGAGGACGTTATGCCGAGTGAAATATCTCAGTCACAAAAGGACAAACACTGCATAATGCCACTGTTGTAGAATGGGACTGACATCAGGGTTGGGATAAGAATGAGAAAAACTGGATAAATTATGTATACTGCACTGAAACAGATGAGGTAGATAACAGGTTAAAAGAGATATATGATAGGGTATTATAGTTATCACAAGAGTCCAGAATGAAGGTTGCTTAGGTGAGTGTATTCGGGGTGGGGACCCGATTGTATACCAATGAAGGAGTTTTTCTTTTGTTTTTCAAAGAGAAGAGCGAACTGGGGTGGGTGGGGGTGGGGCTGGGAGAAAAATGCTACAATGAATGAATGGAAATCCAAAATCTCTGTAAATATTCATCAAAATTAATAAAAATAAAATTTTTAAAAACTGATCCACCTAGCTATGCATATTTGAATAGGCTTGACAAGCAACAGAATAATTGGATTTTGAGAGTGTATCTTTCCCAAGCTGGAGGATATCTTTTAGGCAATACTCATTTTAAAAAATGCATTCTCCACAGGTTAAGAAAGAAATGCTTTTTTGTAAGTAAACCAGTATAAAATTAAAATTTTATCTTAAAAAAAAAGAAGAAACACTTTGATGTTCCAAGTGTTCTGGTGAACTTATACAGAGGGGTCCCCAACTACTCCAAAATGAGTTACTGTTTGCTTTTTACTTCTGAGAAGTATTACAATGCTTCTGTATTGCTATCAGAATAATTAATGCCTGTGAAGGCCACACTGAAGTGGGACTATTTTTCTATGCTGGAAGAAAAACATTTGTGGGCTTTCAGCTCTCCAAGTACATTTCACATGTGGTAAACAAAATCACCTTGAACACACTTGTAAAGTTTGTGCTGTGACTCTGACCATAAAATCAAGAGGATTCATGTTCGATGTACTCTCTGATCCTTGTTTCTCTGCATGATCCCCTCCTGGGGGAGAGGGCACACCACTGCCTTTCTCCATGGAGCATTAGAAGACACTAGACTTAGATCTGCCCAAGCAAGTTAAAAGTTTTCTTCAGAGGATCACTCTGTGACATAATGTTCACAACACCTCTAATCTGCACAATAAATCTCACAGCTCAATAGGTGATTCAGGTAACTAGCATCTCTTATAAATTTATTTCCTTGTGTACTTTTGAGCTGTAATAGACCAATAGAAGACTGTCCAGTGAGTTATTCCAAGGCAGTTAATCATACAGGAGGAGAGTGCCTGTCTTTCTCCCATGGAAAAGTTGGTGAACTTGAACTCTGAACTCTACTACTAGGCCAACAGAGCTCCCTAGAATATCGTTCTGTTAACTAAGTTGTCATTCTATAGCTTAATATCATATTATTCACAGTATTTTTTCCCCTCACTTAAGCAAAAATAATGAGTAAGCTGCTACATTCACTATTTGAAGCAGAATCTCTGTCCCCTTTATTTCTCAACAAAGAAAACTCCCAGATAAACCTAGTGAGTGCAAACTCTGACTTCTGCTTGGCCACAAGAATATAATTTACCTGAATAGTGTGCCACCTGCAATTCAAGCTCTTTTCAAACCTGTTGTCACCATCATTTCCTGTTTTCATTGTACTTTTATTCACACGTACTTGGCTGCATAATGTTGACCATCTAATTTACTACCAACTTATTCTTCATGTACAATTATGTCTAAGAGGCAAGCTCTTCAAATTGTTTTAGGGAGCTCTGGTGGCCTAGTGGCAAGGAGCTGCACTGCAATCCCAGAGACGCATGGTTTGAATCCACCAGATGCTCTGCTGGGAAAGGAGGGACAATCTCCTCCTGTACCAGTCAGATCTAATCTGATGGTACACAGACACACATTAGCAAAATAATAATAAAAAAAAGAAAAAAATTGTTTTAAATAACGTGAAAGAGGCTGCTATTGCTCTTCTTGTTACAAGGATTCTCTCTTTAGCTGACTTCATTAAATGATATGTGGCTTCACTGAACTAAAAACTGCATAGCAGCTGAAAAAAGACAGTAGATCCATTCTTATAAATGTTTAACAAAGTCATTTAAAGTTCCATCTTGAAAATTCCAAGCTTGTTGAAGCATGTAACTCACTCTCTCTAGCAACGAATAAGAAGCAATATTTTACTGAAAACTGCAAAGGGAAAATAGCTCTCACAGGAATTCCTTGTGACCTCTGGAATTCTGCCATAACATCAGATTCATACATACATGTATAGTGATTATGCTGACTTCATGAAAACCACAGAAGATCTAAATGTCTGAAGGAACATTACTTATTTTAAGAAGACTAGCCAAAAGTGAGGGGAGCGCTCATGACCTTGTGAAAGGAACTGTGCTGACCACCCAAAGGCATGTGGTTTGAATCTACCAGCTGCTCTTTGGGAGAAAGATGGGGACTCTTCTGTTTGGTTTGCTGCCTCTGAAAACCCAATGGGAAGCCTGCTTTGTTCACAAAACAGCCTCCTGATCCAGGTATAGATTTTTAATGAGTACAATCAAGTGCTCTGGAATTCCCATTCTTTTCTATGTCATCCACAGCTTGTTATGATCTACACAGTCAAATGCCTTTACATCATCAATAAAGCATAAATGCATATTCTTCTGATATTCTTTACTTTCAGCCAGAATCCATCTGACATCAGCAATGGTAGCCATGCTGCCACGGCTTCTTCAAAATCCAGCTTGCACTTCTCTCAGTTCCCTATTTACTGTTCTAGCCATTTTTTAAATTATCTTCAGCACTATTTTGCTTGCATGTTTGTATTAATGATAATGTTCCAAACTTTCCTCATTAGTTGTGTCATCTTTTTTGGGAATGGAACAAATATAGACCGCTTCCAATCTGTTGGCCAGACAGCTGTCCTCCAAATTTCCTGGCATAGACTGGTGAGTGCATTAAAAGTTGCATCTGTTAATTGAAATAAGTCAATTGGTAGCCCATCGATTTCTGGGGCCTAATTTTTGTCAATGCGTTCAACGCAGCTTCTGCTTCCTCCGTTATCATTGGCTCTTGTTCATATGGTACTTCCTGAAAATTTTCCTACTTTAACAGAAATCCTTTGTTGTGGTCACAGATTCCTTTAGAAACCCACTAAACTTAACTATGGATCCTCGTCATTGCTGTTGTATACCATCGAGTCAGAACCGACCCATAGCAGACTCTCTAGTGATCCTACTAGATAACGTTTTCAAACTACAGAGGGCTTCATAAGTAAAACGAAACAAACACCCCTCATGATATATTGAAAACTTTAAATAGGGTTACTAAAAACATTAATAATATAAATTCTAAATAAAAGAGAGCAGGAAAATTCTTGAATACCTGGGCCTTTAATTGTCTGTTGTCATTTGGTGCCTCTAAGTCTAGTACATTCACAGCAACTTTGTGAGCAAGAGATTGCAACCATATATCATCCTCACGATCTCTTTCATGTTCAAGTCCATTAAAAAGCACATTAAAAGCACTGTGTCAGTCCATCTGGTTGAGGGTTGTCTTCTGTTTTACTGACCCTCTGCCTTTCTCAGCATGATGTTTCTCTTCAGTGACTTGTTCCGCGTGAAAATATAGCCAAAAGTAAGTGAAATGAAGTTTCACTCTCTTTGCCTCTAAGAAGCACCCTGGTTGCACTTCCTCCAAGACCACTTGTTTGTTCTTTTGGTAGACCACTGGATAGTCAGTATTCTTCTCCAAAACCACAATTCAGAGACATCGATTATTTTTTTAACATCCTCATTCACTGTATGACTTACAGATCCATGTTGTTAGGTGCTGTCAAGTTGAGTACCACTCAAGGCAACTCTGTGAACAGCATACCTGAACCCTGCCCTATCCTGTGTTATATGCATTATTTCTGACACATAGGAAGTAATTAAAAATACGGCTTCAATTCAATGCACAGTAGTCTTTCTACTGACATAGTTGCTTTTTAGACCTTTGGAGAGGTCCTTGACAGCTTATGTTCCCAGTGCAACATGGGAAAGGAGATAATATTTGCAAAACAATTTAGAAATAAAACAACCTGACTTAGCATAACCATAAATTATATGGCAGATACAAAGTTGACTAAATTATGAGATGCTGGTGGACTTGAACCTCATGCCTCTGAGTTGTTAGCACAGCTCATTACCTCTAAGCCACCAGAGCTCCCTAATTATGGATGATTGAAATTCTAACTCTGAATTCTGTCACTGCCCACTTGTATGGCTTTGGGAAAGTACTTTCATCTTTTGAGTATTTCTTCTTCCTTTTTTTAAAATGAGCGATGCACAGAAGATGTTATAAAGTTTATTTGGTTCTTAAATTCCATGTTGTATAAACAGCATCAAACAAAAGAAAATTTTTAAACTTTCCTTAGTATTATTCTAAGTAAAGCATGAAAGCAGAATTATTTTTTATAAATGTATTTTATCATATTATAAATAAAGTACTACAGAAGAATTGTTGTACCACCAAGTCAGAATTGACTCAAAGCTTACCCTCCAGCAGGTTTTTGGGGACGATAAATTGCATAGGATGGGATTGCTTATCTCATTAATACGAATGGTTTAAAGAGTAAATGTTGTTATCGTGTACCCTGGAGTTGAAACCAACCCATAACTGACCCTCCAGTGGGTTTTCCAATGCAGTTAATCACATGGGAGGAGATTTCACCATCTTTCTTCCTCAGATCAGCTGGTGGATTTGAACCACATGTCTTTGGGATATCAGCACAATTTCTTAACACTAAGCTTTAAACACTTCCCTGAGGAGTAAATACACATCTACATTTATTTTTTTTAAAAAAATTTCATTTTAAGTTTGTTATTGTTGTGCCATTAAATTGCCTGTGACTCATTGTGATGCTATGTACAATAGTTCTGAACTCCGTTGTATCCTGAGTCAGTCTGTCTCTGACACACCTATCTCCATTGCCCCAGTTACTGTGTAAATCCATTTCTTCCATGATCTTACTCTCCTGTGCTGTCCTTCTGCTCTTGTACATCTGATGTCTTTTTTCAGGAATTGGTCTCTCTTGGCCACATGCCCAAAGTATGAGAGATGGACCTTCAAAATCCTTGCCTCCAAGGAACATCTTGGTTTCACCCTTTCCAGGAAGAACCTCTTTGTTCTCTTGGCAGTCCATGGTAT